AAGTGTTTTCTAGCTCACATCAAAGAGTTGTGTGCTCATGATACTAGAGAGATGATTTAGTGATTAAGAGATCAAACTGCTCTTGAAAAAACCTCAGTTCAGTTTCCAGAACCTTTATCAATAGGCTCAAACAGCCTGTATCTCCGGGAGTTCTCATACCTCTAAACCCCTTGGGCACTGCAGTCCTGTGTGCCTATAGATACAGAGACATATGCCCTAAATCAAACATTCAAAAATGTGCACTCATTTTAAGATTGCACCCAGTTGAATCATTGCAAGAACCTGTTCTCTATTGCTGACATCACACATGACAGATGAAACACTTGCCCTGTTTTACAGATGAGATTAGAGAGGTGAGGTGCTAGCTCACTGATTGCTGGTACACGCGTCAGTCTATCATCTGAGCGGAACTGGGGTACCTACTCTCAGAGTTCCATTCTGCTTACCAGAGCTCAGTGCATTTTTGGGGGTTCACCAATATGATCTTTTTTCTATTTCTGAAGTAAATGAATTTCTTATATTCTAAAATATTAAATGCATTTTCTGTTTGGTTTTACAGTCTTTGATCTTGAAGTTGTATACAGCTTCATGTTCATTGGACTACAAAAATGATTGTGATGTTTAGGAAGATAACCAACTGAATTATTCATATGCTGTGGTCACAATTTACTTTTGTTCTTCATTGGTGTTCATTACCTTCTGCTGCCTGTGAAATAACAAAAATAATATGAATTGCACTGAGGTCAAATTAAAGATTTTCTTCAGATACTACATTCCCTCTTCACTGATTAATATTTAGTTTTTAATCTGGAGTAACATTCTTGTTCTGTCTCAAGTTTATGACTCTTTATAAATGAAACATGATATCATTCTAAAGCATGTACTGGGCTTCTTTCCTGCACCTCCTTCATGGGATTGTAAGATACATATATATTTTACATGTACATATATCTTACAGATCTCAACAGCACATGTCTCAAGCAATTATAGAAGATGGGGAAGGGACAGACAGATACTAAGAAGCAGGCAGCCCAACAATAAGTATGTTATTTCTGTATTCACTTAAGCACAGTAAATCAATCATTTCCATCCTTTTAATCACTTCATCACAATCAGCTTCCTTCTTGACATGGCACTTCACTCTGCTTTCTTTGTAATAGTGCATGCTGACCGCAGGGCAAACCTCAAAAATTAATTTGTTTCACAGGAAATCAAAGAGAGTCCAGGTTAAGTATATATTAGCATAGAATGTTAATCTCCAGCATAGTTATCTGATGAAGCCCAGTTAAGTCAATGCAATTAGTATGGTTAAATATTGGATTTCATTCATGGAAAAGCAGCTGACACACCTGAGCAGCTGGAAACACATGGGAACAAATATCACCCACATTTCCCACTATGCCACTTTTCCTTATACTGCAGACTAGCTATTGACTTTAAGTTTTGAAGTTATTTTCAGAGAACGGCTTTGCTATCCTTAAGGGTACGGAACAGAAAGAAGAAGACAGTAGGAATGTCTGGTTCCTTTATTTCTTACAGAGGGATTCAGCTCCATTATAAATGCAGAGACAAGAATGCACAGGTGGCTTTTAACCAACATCTGCACAGTTAAACAACTGCTTACTAAGTTTACAGTGCTTTCTGGACAGAATCAAACAGAATGAAACATAATAATTATTACAATTATTATAATTCAAAACAGTGAAAATGATTTTGCAATTTTTCTTTAGTCTTCTCTGTCTTTTGTGTGTGTGTGTGTGTGTTTGTGTGTGTGTGTGTGAATGGAGAGAAGTGGTCTCCCAAAATTAAAGAACACTGATACAGATACTCCAAAGATACAGATACTTAAGTTCCTGATTGTCCATGGTCATACTGACATTTGAAGGCAATTTGCTGAATCTTACTTTTTTCCTTTCCACCCTTGATCTGGGAGACTGCACACAGAGGTTATAATGACAGGGGATTGCAGCTCCTGGAGAAGCCTGTCGGATTATCTCACTTCCAGCGCTCAAGTGTATGTGACCTGAGTCGAATGCACTCTTGGAACTGCAGTTTCCCTGTGTAGAAAAGTGACACAAAGCTAAATTTATCCCCTTGTGATGACTAAATGGCGCAGCGCCTCGGTCCTTTCCCTGACGTAAAGCACTGTGCACAGAGGTGGAGTTATGCTGCATTGTCCTGCCATCTCACTGATTCCCTTGCCGCTTAGCTCTTGAGCCCTAAAGTAGTTGTCATTTCATTTCTCCTTTAACTGAAAGTCCAGGGCTTAAGAGATCCCTGTGAACTTATCAATATGTCATATCAGGAAATATATTAAGTAGTTGTCACTGTAGTTGATTCCGCCAACTGAATTATATGGGCCACTGTGAAAATGCATTATTGGCAGTAATAAAAAATAGAAGAGAAATAATAAGCTACTGATTCATGCAGCAACATGATTGAACTAACGTGTTATTCCGACTGACATAAACAAACGCCATATACTTCATGAATATGCATAGACTAAAATAGAGCTATAAGCAATCTTCAAGATGCTAAAAATTTTTCCTTTTAGTGTTTTGAGATTTCACATAGGTCAGACAACTGGTCAGACCATGTGACTGGACATAAGGGAGCCCAGAGAGTGCTCATGGCAGAAACTACACCTCAACACTGCGTAGCTACACATACATCCTTAAGATGGGTACAAGGAAACTTCTGGGAGAGGAAATGGTCTCTCTTCAAAATGGTGTGAGTTATGCTATTTTGTGGATTTTTTTCAAAGCTTGGAGATACTTAAAATTTGAGCAGTTTACTCTATAACATTTATTTCAATGTAGAATATCATCTGATGCCATTGTTGATATTTTACCCACTCTCATATTGTGTCTTTGAATATGTGCTGGAATGTTTGTAGATGGAAAAATGTGTAAAACTTAAATCTCAGTAAGGAGAGGAACTGACAGTGACAGAGTAGCCACACTGATGACACAAAGTCATGGTTTGAAAAATTGTGGAGGCTGGTGATACTCATGTGGCTGCCATCTTCTCACAACTGTACGTATGTTTGAATATTTTACGTAATAAAATTTCAGAGGAGAGGCAACATCACAATTCACTTTTCCTTTTATAAATAAAGATATTGGTCAAGTACTGAGAACCAGAGAACCAGCTCCCAGGTTCAACTAAACCAGACCTGGCAAGAAATTATCCTAAAGAGACGTTTGTGTCCTTTCGTTTGGCTTCAAACTATTGAAAAATAGAACCCAAGAAATAGAAAGTCCCCCAGGAATTTTCTGGAGGAAGGAAAAGACTGAAGCCACATGGCAATTATAGGGAAAGCATGTCTCCTAGGGAGAAATTTTAGAGTTCAGACAGTTTGTCAAACCACCTTGCAGAAAGGACTGGAGTACTTGACCAGGACCCTTCGTTCTGCATACCTTCTGCTTCTGTTCAACCTAACCTCTAAGCAGGTCCCCGAGGATGAACCTGGGGAGCACTGGGCCTCTTTGTTTCTCTTCTCAGTGTGGCCACATTGAATAACTGTCCTTTCCTGTATTGCATATGTCTTATCTCGTTGGGGATGCCAGGGCTCAGGATCTGACCCTATCTCCTGCAGGAACACCACCCTCTTCCTCTAATTTCAAGCAAATATGGAATGTGCAACTACTGTGTAGCCCAGGCTGGCCTCGAACTCGTGATCCTCCTGCCTCTGCCTCCTTCAGCAAATCCTACCGGTGTGCGCCACCACAACCGGCTACTGCTGTGGTAAGGTTAATTTTTAGAAGAAACCCCAAGAATGCAAGGTGGTGCTTAAGCAATGAATTACTTTTGCCTAGCATTTGCAGTTCTACCTACTGTCTTTCTAAATAACATGTAAAACCAGTTGCTTGCCCAACGTTTCCAAATACTTTTTTAGACTTTAACTTTATTATTTATTATTCAGAATTCAGAAGCCAAATGAGTGTGAAGATCGGAGAAAGCATTTTTTCCTCCCACAACTTTTTTTTTTTTTTAATACAGTAAAAGCATGATTTTGCTTGATTGTGCCCAACACAAGTTCAGAATAGAAAAGAAAGGCTTTTCGCTGGGGGAGGAGCTTAGCTCTCAGATCTGTCAGCTCTAGGACAGAGGTATTCTGCCCACCCCAAAGAAATGGAGATGTGTTAAGCAGCATAGAAATTGTCTTGAAGCCTGTGCATCAGCGTGTGAGCTGGGGCTAGAAGGGTCTGTCCAGCTGGAGTTTCACAGACAGGAGTCGGAAAGGTGAGAGGTGTTCAAGTCTACCTGTCAGTGGGGGTGGAGGAAGAAACTGCCTGTGACGGTCCCAGGGGGTGAATCCCACAGGCGTTCCCTCCAAATCCTGTAACGCGCTTCTCTAGGTAAGCCACATTTCAAGAGCATAAAAGCCCCTAGGCAGCTGGTTTTCGACGGTTGGGGGATATTTATTCCTTGCTTCACAGATGGGGAAAAAAAAAAAAAATCAGCGTCTGGCAGCCGCTGATTGGTGGAAAAGAAAATGGTGATAGTGGAGTGGGAAAGAGGATTTGCTGAGCCGCCTTCTGCCTCCTCGACCTGTAACTCTTCCCTAGTCGGCTTCTCTTCACACCCAGAACCCTTTTAGACTCCTTCGGGGTTAATGCAAATGGAAATTTTAAGCCCCGTGAACAAAAAGCAGCCCAAAGGGTGTGTGCTCCGTCCCCAGGGTCTGGCTCTGCACATCTCAGGCAGTCCGGCCCTCGGTGCCCGCGTCCCGGCTTGTCCAGGAGGAGGGGTGCGGAGAGGAACTGAGAAGGAGGAGGCAGGGAAGGAGGAGGATGGCAGGGGAGATGGCAGCTCAAGTTCAGCCGCGATAAAGTCGGGGGGCACTGAACTCGAGGTGAAGCTCAGGCCATCCTCTCTCCTCTCCTCCCGGAGAGAGTGTTCCTGCTACCAGCAGCCTTCACGTTTCTCCATCCTGTTGCCTCCCAGGAAAGGGGCGAAGGCACGAGGCAGGCGAGGGGCGGGGAGAGGCGCTGACAAATCAGCTGCGGGGGCGAGGTGGGGGGAGCCAGGGAGCCAGAGCGCCCAGCAGCAGACTGCGGGAGACCAGCAGGTGCTCCTCCGCCGAAGCCTTCCTTCCCTCTCCCGTTGAAATTAGACCTGGGGGGCAAAAGGAGGAATCGGAGTTCTGCCTAAGCCGAGGGCGCCGGTAAGTACCTGTAGATCGCAGCGTCTCTGGGGCTCCCGGAGAGGCTTGGCTAAGAGGAGTCCCGACGCGCCTGGAGATCAGCTGTGGCTACCTGAGTGGTGGGGACCCGGCCAGCGTGTGGAAAGTACATCACTTGGCTTTCCTTCCGCTGGAGACGTGCCCTTCTACCCTCCCCAAATCCGAAGGAAAGCCCAGGCTGCTTGTGGTATCTGCTTTTTTGAGCGGAAACGCTAGGGTGTTTGTCTTCGGTGCTGGAAGCTGGGTGTTGGGCGCTGGGTGGAACGTGATCATCCAACTTTCATCCTCCAACCGGGGCGCATTCTAGCTTCTCCTGTAGAGTAAGGAGGGCACATTTGGCCAATGACAATTAAAAGTGCAGCGGACGCAAGGCAACAGGTGCTGAGGGGTTAATGAGCACTGGGTGCAGGGTCCTCTAGAGGATTCCAGCTGAGGACAGTACTCTTGGATTGGGTGGTGCGGAAGTGAAGGCAGCCCAGGTATCCACAGCGCCTGGTCCAGGCAGATAGCAGGCAGAGAGCCGTGGTGTGTGGAAGGTCTTGCTAGATTAGAAAGCCTGGGCTGTGGCAGTTGGCCTGAGGTTCCCTTCCTTTGGAGTGAGCAGTTCCCCTCCCTCCCCTCTCCAAAGACTGACTCCCCTCTGGGTCCTTTTTACCTCTCTCGCAGACTCCAGCTCTGTTCTCCCCACCCACTACATTCCTTGTTTTCCTGATAGGCTTTTTACTTTGAATATGTCCTCTTTGGGGCCTTAGGTACTTGATGGGGTAGAGGGCGTCCCTTTACCTACCCTTTTAACTCCACTTCTTAAATGCTCTAAGAACAGCCATGTGATCCCTCGGGATCCATCCCATCCTTAAGCGGCATGACTTTTTACTAGTTTTGAGTGAAATAGCTCACAAACAAGCACCATGGCCAGTCCAAAAACCAACCAAACAAAAACCAAAGGAAGCAAACAACAACAACAACAACAACAACAAAAAAAAAAAACAACAACAACAAAAAAAAAAACAAAACAAAAAACGAGGGCACGCTTACACAAGGAAGGATTGGGGAAGAGGGACCCCCTGATTTTTCAGTGATTTCTTTCTCAATTTTTTTCTCTTCCCACTCTAGGTGTTTTAATCTTGTTTTCTTTTTTCTAAATGTTCTAATTCGCAATATATTCTGTGTCCTCCAGCGTGGAACAAAATACATCATAAGCCATGGATGTGTTCATGAAAGGACTTTCAAAGGCCAAGGAGGGAGTTGTGGCTGCTGCTGAGAAAACCAGGCAGGGTGTGGCAGAAGCAGCAGGGAAGACAAAAGAGGGAGTCCTCTATGTAGGTAGGTAGTGACACTGTGACGGATGAGTTGGCATGGCTGCCGTGTGGCTTCTGATGAACGCACACCACTGCTTCCCAGGAGAGTGACAGGCATGTGGGGGTGAGAGGATGTGAACCTGGGAGAATGCTTTCTTTCCCTAGAATTTTAACTTTGTTATTTACTTAGGGTTTTATCTCAGTTTTCAACGTTACTGTGTGTGGTTACATTGAATTTTTAAAAATTGGCAATCTAGGGAAAATAGCCAAGAATATTCCTCTGAATCAAACCCATTTCTGGCAGCAAGCATGGCGGCACATGCCTGTAACCCCAGCTTTGGGGAAGTGGGTGACCAGAGATCAGGAGTTGGATGTCATCTCCAGCTACACAGTGCATTTGAGGTGTGTCTGGGCTACGTGAGACTCCACAACAAAACAAAAGAAAATAAAATGAGCCTCAAGTACTCATGGGACATTGACTTGTTTCATCATCACTATAGATAATACTTGTTAATTTTTAAAACAAGACTTTTGCATGATTTCAGTTAATATCTGGGAAAACACATGTACTTTGGCCTCCAAATAGAAAAAAAAAAAAAGCAAGTTTTCTTTAGTGGTTCTCCCTTTGAGGATTACTTGGTTAGTGTGTTCACAGGGGCTCAAGGAACATCAGAAGTGTTTGTGCAGACAGATACTTAGTTTCTTTTTGCGTAAGTGTATTCCTTGAGATAGAGGTCAACACCCCCTTTCCTGTGTTTTTCCCTGTGTTAAACTGGATGTAATGTTACGAATCCTTCCAATACTTTGATAGAAGGAATAGACACATATGTGCATACACCCATCCCCAGCAGAGACACAGGTGTGCATGGGAACAGAGAGACATAGCTCACCTGCCTCTCTGCTTCTGTGAGCATTTCCACCTACTTAGGAGGGCATCTACCTTGATAGAAGGCCCAGGATAAATGCTCAGATGGAAAAGGAGCAGAGCAGGTGGCAGAGGTGACAGAGTTGCTACACAGGGAAATATCAAGAGAGGGATCAGTGGAAAAAAATCTACACATGCTGATCAGTGGAAAAAATTTACACCTGCAAATATTTTCGTGACTGTTTCTTCTCATCAAGGTTTCTAGATCATCTTTGCTCATTCTTCCTAGATTATTTTTACATTTACTTAATTATCTCTTTTTCTACCTCAAAACATTCGTTCAGAAAGTCTTGATTATTGTAAGAGAAAGGTGTCAGTGAACTGTGAAGTATAATGTTTTAGATAGAATTCAGAATATAAATGAATTATTGGTAGATTTGGGGGCACCTCAATTCTTCCACATTCTGCAATTACAGGCTTGTAACTATTTTTTTAATTCAGTTGCTTAATAAATATATCTTTCTTATTTTTAGATCACTAATTTTAAGTAACTCTACAAGTTATTTAATATTAATTTAGTACATTAATCTTTCTGGATAATAAACAGATTTTATCAAGTAGAACACTTGGTTGTTTTTATTGTCAAATGTGAGTTTTCATAAATAAAATATTTTTGAACTATTAGTTTTGTTCTTTGCTGTGAGGCAATTATACAAAAAGTGTACTTTTAAATATGTCTAATGTTATTAAAATTATCAATGTCTGTTATATTTAACACATGTATAATTAATCAATTGCTGATTATGTTCTGGAGTGTAATTTAAAAGCTGAACACATGCATAGAATTTAGGATGAAAAGTAATATGTGAAGATAAGAATATAGTTAAGATTTTTGTCAGCTTCTGCTAATGTTCAAACATACTTTAATCAACTCTGTCGTTGAAGTGTGAAAGAAACCATAGGCAGTAGTAACCAGTATGACTCTGCTTCAGTCTTTATTTATCAACACAACAGGCTGGAACTGACTCAGAGGCTATAGAAAAGTGAAAGGAATGTGGGCTATCAACTTAATGTCATACAAATATAAATTTAATCCAAACCATGTCACTTTTACCTTTAGGATCTCCAAGAGGTTATTTAATGTCTCTGAGCCTCCTTCCCTTCTTAACATAGTTCATAAAAATGCAATTACTTTCCAAAGGTTTTGTGGAAAGTCAGTAACTGAGTGCACTTTCATATTTAGGAACCTTGATTATTGTCAGATAAGCTGTTCATCTCATCAGGTATTTTGCCACATGATTTCTTATTTTTTATTCCCTGTATGACACTATTATTAACCTGAAGGATTGGAAGTGATCTGGCACTGTAGCCGGCCCGATAGCTCATGACCCAGTTCTTGTCTGCACACCTGCAGCACTGGGTTCACTCTCTGTACCATAGAAACAAAAGATGAAAAGTAAAAGGTTGGAAACAGTCAAATAAGACTTCTACATTTCACTTATTGCTGAAGAGGCTTGTCAGAAGCCTCATCTCCTTCCTTTATATGCTTTGGATAACTGCCTTTTAAGTAATTGAAGAACTTCCAGAGGAATCAGTGTTTCAATTCACATATTTCAGTTCATAAAGAACTCAATGGCACTATATGTAATCTCCCAATGGCGTTGTATATAATCATAAACTTTGTTAAAGTAAAAAAAAAAAACGCTGTATATAATGTTAGTTTTCTAGTATTAAGTTGAAGAAAATCACCTTCAGCTTCATTTCATTGCTTGTGAGCAGCAGTGGACATACACTGGACTCTTATGTCTCGCACCTGAGACTTAATGGTCAACATATAAAACAGTGATGCATCTGGGGTTCCCACAGCTCCCTCTATTCTGTATCCTTGCAATATCCCCAAAAACAAGACATGGTGAGGGCAGGCACCTCAGCTCACAGAAGCTGCCATCTATGTTGCCCCAAGCTTCCATAGCTTGCTTCCTATGTGACACCCAGCACCTGCTTTTTAGCTGTATATTATCACTTAGAGATCACCTGTAACCTGAAGGTAAATTATCACTTCTAACTTAACTGATGATTATAATGACAAAGATCAGGAATTGGTTTGAGATACAGCGCCTTCATCAAGACTATCATTTGTTTTCCATTAAACAGCCATTCCATGAGTTTGCTAAATATCAAAAATCTCAGGTACTGCTAAGGGAGAGAAGACAGATCAGGCACCAGCCAATGAGCATTTCTTTCCATTACTCATGATCTTAAAAGTTGTAGGGAGGTGAAGAAGGTACAGAAGCGAAGCATTCTCTTAGGCAGGCTGCTCTACTGCTTGTGAGGTATATTTAAATTCCAGCTTAGACTTTAACAGTACCTGTCCCAAACAACATAATTTAAACATCTGTTACTGCAGTGCATAAATTAAGACTGATTATACAAGTTATAAACTTTACTGCTACGTCTTCACCCTCAAAATCATCACACAAATAACCAAGCCCATTATAATTGGTGACTAAATTAAATCACTTCTTTCAGAAATTTGTCAGTGAGTTGCCATTTTCCATCTGTCACATAATTCTCACAAATAGCAACACCTGTGGGTGTGTTGTATCTTGTCTCCTGGTGATGAATCCACATGATAGTTTATAGAAATGCATCCCAACAAGAAAAAAAAAAAAAAACAAAACTGACCAGCTGAGGTGAAGGCACTTCAAGGCAGTAAAATGACAAATTCCGGGAGTAATTGCCTTATAGAAGAAACAGTTGTCTATTCAGATTGTAGAAATGTACAACTGAATTTGAAATAATTTTGGAATTAGCAATTACCTCATATGCTGGTTAATGTCTGTCAACTTGACATAAGGTAGAGAGCAGATGTGGTCTCTCTCTACTGTAGTCCTAGAAAGTACACATTCAGCTAACGGTCTGGAGGTGAATATGTAAGCATACACTGAAGATGTGAAGTCATTGTCTCAGAGGAGGTCATATCATCTCAACACTGTGTTAAAGGAACTATCAGGGACAGATCATGACGTGCAGAATTGTGATCTGAGTGAGAACACCACTTAGCGGCTCAGCCGCTTGCTGTCAGTGGGCAGACCTGTTTAGGAAAAATTATGAGGTGTGGCCTTGTTGGAGGAAGTGTGTCACAGGGGCAGGCAGTGAAGCTCAAAAGCCACTTAACAGTCCAGTGTGCTCTTGGTCTCCTGCTTTTGGATCACAATGCAAGCTTTCAGTCATTCCTGATGTCCTCCTCTCTCTCTACCACTGTGGAGTCGAACTGACACAATTTTGTAGGACATGGAAAAGATGCATCCCTTAAGGCATATGCAGTGAGAAAATGGCAAGCATACATTCTCAATACATTGTTTTTGCAAAAAAAATAAAAATATATGCAAAATGTAAGATAATTATTAGTTTTATTATTTCCCAGTATAAATAGTATAAATGTATAAATAGTATAAATGACTAAGAATGTTTAATAATTTGAGTAATAGCCCTGAGCCTTCTCTCCTGGTTATACAGTTTCTCCATTCATTATTAGATGATATACACTGCACGCTCAGCTTCTCACAGCTCTAGAGTACCTTGCAAAATAAGCAGTGCCAGAGAAATACACGCAGACAGCACACATGAAAAAGACTAGAGCATGTCCATTTATGCTAACAAGTATGCCTTTCACTCTGTGGTGCTTCTTGTTTGTTGATCTTTCTTATGCAGCTTCAGCTTTTCCTTAATAATTAGTGTGTATGTCTGTGCATGTGTGTGTGTGTGTGTGTGTGTGTGTGTGTGTCTATCCACATGTGTGCATATGTATGTGTGTATGTGTAAGGACTAGAGCATCACCAAATCTGTATCACACATTAAACAGCTATGAGGGCTTTACTTGATTAGTTTCCTTTGATCCTTTTGCTAAGGTAATGATGTAGACTTGGTTATTCTTTAGTGAAGTGAAGATTTAAACCTGGACTCTGAGCGTGGGAGGAGTCCTTATTTTCAAAGTGAATGTTTCTACATATGCTTTTTTTTTAAAGTAGAGAGTTGAATCGATTCCTTTCTAAAGGATAACTTTATATATGACATATACAGATTTCACTTATATGTTTATATATGTTCAAAATATTTGCAAATGCTTTGACATACTCTGTACATCTACCTAGGTCATCTTACTGATCACATGGTTTAGACTATAGAAATGCACATCTCAATTTTAAACAATTTTGGAATTAGAAATTACCTCATGTGCTTGCTAGTGTTTCTTAACTTGACAGGAAGTACAGTTACCTGGGAAGAGGAGATATTACTTGAATAATTGCCTCCATCAGATTGACCTGTAGGAATGTCAGTGATGGTTTTTAATTGATTGCTAATTGATGGACTCAGCCCATTGTGGCTGGCACCACCCCTGGGCAGGTGGTTTGGGTGCTATAAGAAAGCAGGCTGAGCGAGCCATGGAGAGCAAGCCAGTGGGGAGTGTTCCCTTGTGGCTTCTGCATCAGCTCTGGCCTCCAGGCTCTGGCCATGCGTAAGTGTCTGCTTTGGCTTCCCTAGATGATGCCCTGCCATACTTCAAGCTGAAATAAACCCACATATTGCATTTGGTCATGCTGTTTCTCAGAAAACGGAAGAAATTGGTTCATGAATAAATTATGTACAGGGAATTATTGCATATGTTGATATCTGTGCTTTATATTTATTGAGCACTTGGTCCCTAGTAAACTATGTATATGATATGATATGACTTTTGTTCTATTTTTTCTACTTACTCTTTGTACATTTAGCAAGAGGTTTTTTTTTCATTTGTTTGTTCTAATAGTGCATTTAAAAAGTAAAGATTGTTAAGTTCTTTCCATACACAGATCTACGTCTTTTTCAGTTTGTATGTCCTCATTTTTTCTTTACACTTTACAATCTCCTGTGTCTAGATAGGACTATTTTAGTTAATGTTCCTCTCTCACTCTCTTTATTCCTTTCTTCTTTGTTTTCTTGGTAATAATGGGATCAAATCCAGGTCTTTGCACATATGAAACATTACTGTACTAATATCTATGTCTTTAGCCCTATAGAAAATAGCTTTCACTTAAAATTTGTATTATTTATATGTATATATATATATATATATACATATATATCGTATATGTGTGTGTAAATTGTGGATATTAATTGTACAAAGTGAGAGAATCATTATGATCCTTCCACATATGAATTTAATATACAAGAGTTATATCCACCCTTTTATTACTCAGTGTTGTATTGTTTGCAGAGATGATCGTTTTCATATTTCTTTGTTATTAGTGCTTTTTATCTTTATTGTGTACACTCACTGTTCATGGTACTATATTTTAGGAACATCTTTATGTAAGTATGTACAACATGGTCTTTCAAAGTGTATGTATGGGCTTTGATCATAATCTCAGCTTTATTATTCTATTTTCCCCTGCCAACCTCTCGACATCTTCAGCAGTGACCTGTTACTTTTGTGCCCCTTTGTTATCACTCTATATTGCATATATGGGTGAGAAAAATGATGCCCTGTTTATCTTTGTGAGCTGACTCATTTCACTTAACATGATGATTCATCCATTTTCCTACACAAATCATTATTTCATTCTTCTTAATTATCGAGTAAAGCTCAATTGTGAAATTCAGTGCATGAAGAATTCTCAAAAACTTATAAAAAGAATTTCTAGAGATATCACTTCTGCAAAAACACCAGATTCAGCATACAAAAATGATATGCTGCATACACATGTATATTTGACTACTCAACCATAGCCCATTTGGGTTAGGACCAGGTTCTCACTAACACAGGAGTGGAAGAGGAGTCTCTGGTATATATAAAAAACCCAGTTTTTCAGATGAACCTCAGCTCTCAATAAAACATTTAATTTGAAAGTTGTGAATTCTGCTGAAAAATTCAGAATTACAGAGATTATGATTAAAATGATTTACAAACTTACTTTTAATAATCTGTGCAAAAATTATTTATTTGTTTACTATTGGCCAAGGCATAGGTAAAATTAGTATCTTACGTACAAACCCAGTTTGAAAGTGTTATATTTAAGTATCAAGCAAGGGTTAGATGAAAAGTCATTATGTTTTGTAAAAAACTTTTTATTTCTTTTCTTAAGTTAATTTTACATTTTTCTGATACAGGAAGGCCTCAAACTTTTACCTATCAATGAGCCTCCTTGTGATGTTTCCATACATGTTTACATTGTGTGGTCAGATTCCGCACAAGTTCCTTGTAGCTTTTTGAGCTACAAGTGTCCAGTTGCTGCCTATGATCACCCCCTGGAACAGCATAGTCACTGCATACTGATGACCAAGGCAACTTGCTGCCTGCTAATTACTCACCTGATTCAACCTGGCAAGGCCTCTGTGAGCTTTCCTTCGCTCTCCATTCGCATGATTTCTGTGTGCCTTTGCTGTTGTTTTTCTGCTGAGGTTACCTTTGTTCATAAACTTCTGGATATCAAGAATTTTTAATTGGCTGCTGGAAATTCACGGACAGCTTGAGACTTATATATTCAATTTCTTTGGTTTATTTTTAGGTTCTAAAACGAAGGAGGGAGTGGTTCAGGGAGTGACAACAGGTAAGCTCTGTTGCCTTTTGTCTAGGGCGATATTCTAAAGGCCTTCCAGGCCAGCTGCACCTGAGGCTTATGGTTCAACGTGCAGCTCTGAAAACCACTGTCTATAGGGGAACACTGGTCAGTTTATTTTTATGAATCTATTTTTAAATTTTACTTTGGTTTCTCGAGACAGTCTTTCTGCACAGGCTGGAATGGCGTCTGGTCTGCTTCCGCATTCTAAATGCTGGGATTACAGACATGTGCCAATGTACCTTGCATACTGGCTTTATTTAAATCTTATTGTTTATGAAGTATTTTAAGATAGTCAAATATGGATTAAAGATTTATAGCCCAAATTGTCTAATGGCCAAGAATGATGGCTTTAAATTTGTCAACCATATTTAATCCTAATGGTTTGGTATGTGGGTATCTACATAAAAACAAACAAACACCTAAATACATGTAATGCAATGATTGTATTCTTTCTTCAAATATTTGATGTAAAATGTTTGTAGTATTTAGTATATGGTTTTTAGTATTTAGTATATGTAGTATTTAGTATATATAAATTATATGGTCTTGAACATTTCCTCTGTGATTAAGGGTCCTTTAAAATATCTTTAGGAATATGTTATTATTTTTATAAAAACTATATATGTATATATATATTATTTATGTCACTTGGAATAATTTTAAGAATTTCAATAAGCCAAAAATAAAACATATTAAAGAGCCAAAATGACAAAGATGATGTAGTGATGGTAGGAAGGAAAATGAATAGTAGAGTGATAAAACTAAGAAAATAAAAAAAGAAAAATAAATATAATCAATTTGCCATAGCTTGGCTGTAGCCAAACTTCCTACTGTGCTTTCACTCTGCATTGGGCTTCCTGCAGTGAAAAGAGACCTATCAGGAATGTAACTGACAAGATCAGGAAGCCTTTGCATTATAACAATATAGCAAGCGCCTATTAACAGTATGTGAAATAGAAACAGGGAAAATGTTGCTCTTAATTCAGTATGGGAAATCTGCAAATGCCAGAGTTGTGCCTTAATTCGGACTTTTGTTTATTTTTTAATGCTGTTTGATTTTCTGCTAGAGTCCTGTTCTAGAAGTATGCACAACGAGAGAGTAAACAGATTGTCTGGTTTCCAGAGGCTAAAACATAAGCATGACTGTAATAAGATACAGAGTCAGACAGGTAAAGAGTGTTAGGAAGAGTCCCACCCTCGAGTAATGGTGTTCCAGCTTTGATGGCTGAGAGAGAAGCCATGTTATTTGCAACACAGGTAGCAAGTGGTGAGATTCAGAGTCTGCTGTGCTGACTGGCTGCAGGGCTCTCTATTGACAAGTTTGGACATGTTTAGTGTCCTCCAGAACAACGGTATGTGAAACATGAATTTTAATGTTGTGTGTAAAAGAGAATGGGGCTGGAAGAGCAAGAGAAAGGGAGGAAAGGAAAGAGGGAGGAAGGCTGGGAGAAAGGGAGAAGGAAGGGAGGGAGAGAGAGAGAGAGAGAGAGAGAGAGAGAGAGAGAGAGAGAAAGTAGTTTATGCAACAGAGAGCATTTTAATATATTTTCTAAAGAATAATAGTCAGCAAGCTTATATTTCCATAGTTTTATAATGTTGAAAACATACTGTGTTTTCTTTTTGGTCTATTTAAAAAAATTGAAATGTTCCACAGTAAATAAACACACAAAATATACTATAGCCCAGAGCTCTTGAAACTTTCACTACTGAAATTTCCTTCCAATACTTACTATATCACATGAATGTGGTGTTTCACAAAATACTAAGAGTGACCCTGTTAGGCAGTAAAGACACAGTGGCGTGGGCGTGGCAGTATGTACTGCCTTTCTACCAGTGAAGAACGCTGGCAGTAGAATAAAATCAAATACACTGCCACAGTTAGTAAAAAAGAGGCCACACTAAGTACCATTCCTCCCCATTGAATATAAGTACATTTCTTAATTTATGGAGTGGTATTATTTAATATAATACCTAATTTCAATTATAGGCATAAATGCTTTGGTAATAACTTCAGTATGGAGAAAGAGGGAGAGTTGGTGGTTTATTGTGCAGGGTATAAAATGCATAGTACAGGAGCATCATACCTGCCCAGTAAATTTTTCCGTTACTGTTAGTAATGTTTACACAAGGAAGCAAGAGACTCTCCTACAGCTTATGTCATTATTCACAACTGTTGAAATTCCTCCAAGATTCCCCTCACTAGCTTCTTCAGCAGGGATAAAAACCAAGAAACCTTAATGATAACTTTTGTACTTACCAAATCTAAGGAAAAGAAAATCTCTTATTTATACTGACAATTCTTCAGTATAAATGTAGAAAGATCTTAAAATTTTGGCATTTTGACCTCATGATACCCTTTCAGTTGCCAATATATGTGTCATGTTGGAGGGATATAAGAATATAGATTTACTGAAAGACATCTCTGAAGTTGCTTCAAAGATAAGATAAGCTGAGGTTCTGTTGAGTATGCGTAGCATGTAGGAGCACTGGATGTGATTGCAGAGAACCTGTGTTCATGTCCCACTTGTCAGCTCACGACCATCTGTGACTCCAGCTCCAGGGGATCCAACACCCTCTCTGGCCTCCAGGGACAGTGCATGCATATAGAGCAGATGTAGAGGCAGACAAATACTCATACACATAAAAATACAAATAAATGGAAAAAAATGAAAATAAATGGTGAAAAAGCTTAGATAAATATTTGATATAACTATGGTGTCAGATTTTATGAATATTTTTATTTAACTTTTTACTTTATTACTTTATGATGATAACTTTATTATTGAATTTTAATTTTTAGCAACTAAAATAATATATGAATATAAGTCTTGAAATTAATTTGGACATTAAGTTAGGCATTAAGTTATTTTTACTAAATTAAAAAAACTGTTTTCAAATGTTTGCTATTGCATTATATGAGAAACAAGACAACTGTGCCCATGATTTTAAAGAACTTAAACATGTAGTTAGAGATCGGAAGACATATGTTAAATCATGGTAACATTCTCAGTGCTAGCTACTGAGATATAGCCAGCAAAGCATTGCCAAAAATGCATGGGGCCATGGAGGGAGGAGTTCTTTGGAAGTTTTAACAGGCTATGACAGTTACTTCAGAGGGATGGAGTCAGTGCGTAAACAGGTGGAAAAAGCTCTAATCAGACAGGAGTCCATATAACAAAAATAGGCAACACTGACACATTGGGATAAGCAAATCAATTTGAGTTCTTCTACATCTATTGACTGGGAGACAAATACTCATTTGATTCTGACTATAAGGTCATGCCATAAAAATGAATGCCAATTATGGAATGAAGATTGTCAACTTTTATCTTCTAAGGCAATGCCAATGATTAGAAAAACAAGGTTAAGACCTTAAAGGCAAAAACAAACAAACAAATTTAAAAAACGTCCTACAGATGTTTATATTTATATCCTTTTAAGTATATCTGTTATCATTATTGTACACTGACATTTTTTTCAATTTCAATTTTATTTTATGTGCTTTGGTGTAAGTGTGTCAGATCCTCTCCAGAGCTGCTATGTGGGTACTGGGAAGTGAACCCAGGTCCTCTGGAAGAGCAGCAAGTGAGAGAGAGCCATTTTCCCAACCCCTACACTGATATTTTGTGATGTTCTTTTTAATTATTATAATAAAATTGTGAAACGGGAATCACATATGCATTACACTTACTGCACAATTTTTGTGTTTTAAAAACAACAGATTAAGGTTTATATTTATATAAAGAAGTGTGCACATAAAGTTTATGTCTGGCAGAAAATATGAATATGTAAAAAGGCAAAACTATTTTTTCCTCATGTTGAGATGTTTTAGCAAGAAACTCTCAAGCAAAACTTTTTAACATATTCTTGGAAGATAACATAATAACCTGAAACACAGAATTCAGCATGATTCCAGTGATTTTTAAAACAGTATTTCTAGTATAGCTCTGCCCTGAACTTTACATGGGTACCCAGTGATCTTCAGGAAGCATACAGAATGTCACGGTGTTCATAAGCAGACTCACAGAGGTCCAACCTGAAAGGCAGCTACAGAGTCACTTACATAAATGCTGGCTGCAATCTGAATGACCTTCAGGCTTCCCCTAAGACCTGGTTTAATGGGTAAACCCCATGTCTTTACAAGTCAAGTTAACTTCAGTTACAGAAATTGTCCCTTCCAAAATTATTTTCTTTGCCCACATCATTGAGTTATTTGCCTTTGTGGCTGATGACATGAAATCTGCACACTACAAAAGCCATCTGAATAGCTGAGATGGTGTGATTCCTCTCCTCAGGGTCCTCAGACAGTCTTCTCAGGAGTGCATGAAGAAAAATAAGTATAAAAATACAGTGAGAATATGAACTCAAACATATTAACTCAAACTAACACTCTGAAATTTTGGGCAAAAGCAAAAAAAAAAAGAAAAAAAGATTGTAGAGTAAATGAAAGGCAAACTTAAAATTCATGTGGGTAAGGGCTGGGAGACATCAGACTTTCTGGATATAAGATATAGAGCTTCAAATACAGACAAGTATTTGTGTATTTTTTAACTTATAATTATTTTAAAATGCGGAATCTCTTGTCTTTTATGTCTTCCACAGTACAATGGCATTAATGGGAAAAATTCCTTTTATTTTGAATTTCTCTTATATATATACATGGGAGAAGCAAAGAAAGACTGGCTTAGCAATTAGGTATACTTCTAGTATGTCATGGGAAATTTTTTTATGTAAGTAAATTTATGTTTATGAATCTCATCTGAGCCATTTTTAGTGTCTTCTCTGAATTTTAGCTAGTTTAAAAAACATACTAAATAACCATATTATTTTTATGGAAATAAAATATAGGTATAATCAGCAAATTTCTCTATTTTCACACTTACTAAAATTCTAGATTCTCTGTTCCCATTAAAGTGTCTGAAATTTTGTTTTAACACTGTTGTTTGGCTGGAGAGATGCTCAGTGGTAAAGAGCACCTGCTGCTCTTCTAGAGGACCAGAATTAGGTTTTCAGGATCCAACTGGTGCTAAGAAATTGTTGAGAGGCTTTCATCTTCCTGTAACTAGAGCCTCAGGGGATCTGACACCACCTTCTGCCATCCTGTGTCTTTGCACACATGTGCACTTTCCTGACCCCTCCAGACACAATATACACAATTAAAAATGAATAAATAATATTTTAAGAGACCCATCCTCTTTCTCTACCATGCTCTCTTCTATTGCTTATCTCCACAATGTATGAAGAGCATATGCACACATTGGGCTTTCCTGTTGGAGCTGCCTAAGGAAGGACTTGTTTTAGCATTCTGCTCTTAGGTTTGGGAATGTGTGCCCATCTATCATGAGACATCTTGGCCATGGAACCAAATTCTAAATGTAAAATTTATATTTCAAGTACTGTATACATATTGTCAGAAAGCAATTTCACACTATATTTAGAATAATTCTGAGCATTAACATAGTTCATAGTGTGAAAATTTCTGCTAATATCACATTGGTGCTGCTCAAAAGTTAAGAATTTAGAAAAATTTTGAATTTTGACCTATCAAGGTAGTAATACTAAAGGTGTGATTCTAGAAGGGATAATGGAAGTGAACTTGGGAAGTGATATCACAGAGTCGACATTGAAACTGCAATATTGCTGAGGTACCTATACTGACAACTTGGCCCTGTCCCTGGCTGTGATGTTTTCTGTCCATTTGCTTCAATGCAAACCAAATCCAATTCACTTCTTGCTCTGTGTTACAATTAAACTGTCAATATTTTTTAATCTATGCATAATTATAACTCAGATTGAGTGTTTGGCTGAAGCATGTCACTTCTACCTTGGTGTCTTGATTCTTCACACTCCTCTTGCCCATTGTCTGCTTATCTATGGAAGTTGACAGCTACTGACAGCAGAGTTATTGAAAATCTCTGTCATACCATGTGTTTTAATCTGTTGTTGCTCTTAATATTCCTAAGTGGCTGAGAAGACCAAAGAGCAAGTGACAAATGTTGGCGGGGCTGTGGTGACTGGTGTGACAGCAGTCGCTCAGAAGACCGTGGAGGGAGCTGGGAATATTGCTGCTGCCACTGGTTTTGTCAAGAAGGACCAGATGGGCAAGGTATGACTGCCTTTTTTTTCTTGCAGTGCACAGCATGATTGCTTACATACATCAGAAAGCATGTACACGATATGAACTGCGGGAAATGCCTGCACTTTTACAGAGCTCTTATTTTGATGCACTGCTTTCCCTGGGAAATGTCATGTACACTATACAATATCCTCGATTGTTTTAATTTCTGGAAGAAAGCTATGAAAGTAGACAATGTAATAAAAGCTAAGGGATCAGTGACATTTCAGAAAGAATGGCTGCTTTCATGTGAATGGTGGGGTTGGAATTCCTTCTGTTAGCAATAGCAAACATTTTCATGCCTGATTCCTAAATTTCCTGAATGGAGATCTTTCATTTGATTTCTTTGTAATGATGTCATTTCTTATTAAATGGCATATTTGCATTATCAGATAACAACTCATTACCAAATATATTATTTTGCAAACTGAGAGTCTTAAAGTGCATACCAAACACAGATCATGGTTTCATATGGTGATTCTTACATTTTTAGAATTTTAAATTTGCTTCTGGATACATATGAAGCTTTAGTGACATAGTCTAGGTACAACTTTCCTATTAAATGTCAAAGAAATAGATTATAAAGCCTCCTGAAAGATGAAGTTTCACAAACCTCATGATCATAGAGCAGGATAAGTTTTGTAATTTTTTTGTGTTCTTTTTTGCCAATTTTTTAATATATTAATACACATATATTTATTTATTTTTGAGATACTCTGCCTTGCCCTGGCCCTGCCTGGAGAGCTCCTCTGTAAGAGCTTGCACTTGGCTCTCAGTTCCTCCTCTCCTGGGTCTTTGTTAAATGACACCTTCCTGGCAATGTCTGCCTTCACTACTTAAAGTTGGAACCATTCTCACCTATGAAGGCCCTAACCTGACTACTCTAATTTCTTCCTGTTTGCCTAAGCATCATTGCTCTTCAAATAAATTAAATAATTTACTTATTTTAAATATGTTGTTTATTTCTCCCTTTCTAGGTAGTTGCTATCAGAATGGGAAATATTTATGATTTTTCATTGATACTTCATGTGTATAGGCAAGTTCCTAACCACAAAGTCAGCAAAATAATGGGCCCTTACTAAAGATAGGAAGAATGTAGAAACAGCAGTTTTGAATATTAATAATCATGTACATGGTATAAAACCTTTGCTTGATCCAAAAGTTGTAATCAAAAGGGTTCTGATATTCAATGCACTTTGTCATCTGGGAAATGCAAATCAAAATGACCCTGAGATTCCACCTTACCCTGGTCAGAATGACTAAGATCAAAAACTCAAGTGGCAATACATGCTGGAGAGGTTGTAGAGAAAGGTGAACCCTCCTCCGTTGCTGGTGGAAATGTAAACTTGCACAACCACTTTGTAAATTATTCTGGCACTTTCTCAGAAAATTAGGAATAGTACTGCCTCAAGATCCAGCTTTGCCACTCCTGGAAATATATCCAAAAGATTCTCAACTATGCAATAAGGACATTTGCTCAACCATGTTCATAGCAGCTTTATTCATAGTAACCAGAATCTAGAAACAACCTAGATGTCCCTCAACAGAGGAATGAATATAGAAATTGTGGCACATTTACACAATGGAATATGACTCAGCAATTAAAACCAAGGAAATCATGAAATTTGCAGGCAAATGGATGGAACTAGAAGATACCATCTTGAGTGAGATAACCCAGAAGCAGAAAGACACACATGGCATATACTCACTTATAAGTGGATATTAGCCATATAATATAAGATAAACACATTAAATCTATAGTCCTAAAGAAGCTAAACAACAAGGAGGACCCTAGGGAGGATGCTTAATCCTTATTCAGAAGGCAAACAGGGTAGACAATGAATGTAGGAGAAGACGGAAAACAGACAGGAGCCTTCCACAGAGGGCCTCTAAAAGACTACCCAGAAAGGTAGGTAAAGAAAGGTATGAAAGCAGATGCTGAGACTCATAGCCAAACTTTGGGCAGAATGCCAGAATTCTTATGGAAGAAGAGGGAGATAAAAAGACCTGGAGGGGACAGGAACTCCACAAGGAAACTAACAGAGCCAAAAAATCTGGTCCCAGGGGTCCTACAGAGGCTGATGAATTAACCATGCATGGAGAACACCTAGACTCCTTGCTAAGATGTAGCACATGGGCAACTCAGTCTCCATGGAGGTTCCCTAGTAAGAGGAACAGGAACAGTCACTGGCATGAACTTGGTTGCCTGCTCTTTGATTACCTCCCCAGGGTGAAGTGGCCTTACTAGGCCACAGAGAAAGAGGATCCAGGCACTCCTGATGGGACCTGATGGGCTAGCATGAGATAGTAGGGGAGGAGAACATCTCCTATCAGTGGACTAAGGGAGGGACATAGTGGGGGAAAGGGAGAGAGGAAGGGTGGGACCAGGAGTATATGAGGAAGGGTCTACAGCTGGGGATACAAAGAGAATAAATTGTAATAAATAATAATAATAATGAAAAAAATTAAAATGGTTCTGAAATAGACATCCTGAAACCCAAAAGAAAGACACTTTCATCTATGGACAGACTAGTCTGGGTTTTCTCTATCTCAGTCATCCTAGGTGGCAGAACAAACTTCATAGCTAAAGCACTGAGGATTGGAAACCCCATGGCATACTTAGACTTCCCTTAGCCAGCTCCATTTTTAGAGCAATTAAACATAACCAAGGCAATCTAGAGAGCAGCCCGCTGATGTGAACAAAGGACCAATCAAGCAAGCTCTCCTCTGTGAGGAATATCCTTTTGTAGTAGTCTTTTTATGGCAATAATTATATCAATGCCTATTTTCCATTTGGAATTGTAATTATATGTGTATCTTTACCACATACTCGGAAACTTAGGAGACACCAGATCACTGTGGAGGCATCTAGCATTGCAGGTTACAGACAATCCAAAGAAAAGGGGAACCTTTGTCAGAAAAATGTATGCTCACACACACACGCATAGAAGGACTGAAGGAAGGCCACCAACAGACCCGCAATTTAAAACTTATTCCTGATTGTACAATGAGGAATGTGAACTTGTAGAGGAGAGGTGAGTATCAAGTTCTTAGAGCCTAACCTGTTGGAGTTATCTGATGCCTCTAGCACACACCTATCTGAAGTATCACTTTTTTAGCCACACCATCAATACATAGCTTTCTTTGTCAACTAGACAAGACTAGAGTTAGTGCAAGAACTCATTGCTTCAGAATGTAGAAAGGCCAGAAAGCATGTCCTTCTTTGTCTGCATTAAAAAAAATGCAATAGAAATCACAGATGGTTCATTAAAAACACTTCACATTGTATCAACTTGGGCTTGTTTTCTACCTTTAAAAATACCAATCCTTGTTTTTAATGTTCTAAAGCAGAAATCTTCTGATGTTACAAAATGAAACACTTGCAGATATTTCTCCTAAGAGTATTATAGGTTCTCAAAATTTTCTATTATAAAAATGAAGCTGAAAACATTGAAATTGTAGCATGAAATTGGAATAAAACCCAGTGGGTTTGGGGTTAATGTGGTTGATCTTCATATTACACTGGTCATTTGCTAGCTGTGAAAGCTCATGCTAAGTGCTCAAGACCTGTTCTTATATAATGAGTGAGTTCTGCTACTTTGCCAGAAAGCTGATAAAGCAATGAAGTTTTGAATATATATAATAACTCAAGGAATACTCAAATAAATGCCAGTAGTTGTGGCCATATTTTCTGATGCTAAACATATTCACAGCTTAAAGAAAATCATTGAATTTATTCCTAATGAAATTTAAAGTATTTTATTTCATCTTTTAGATTCTAATCAAAATTATCTTGGTAAAGACAAACAAGCATTTTTTTATTTACTTATTTTTAACTGATTGTCAGTGACCTCATTTGGCCCTTTGTAAGAAATAATGAAGAGGCATTTGACCAGTGGGGCTTGTAGACAGCTGGGTATTAGAGGTGGACGAACCTCACTGCCCATCTCTTGGTAGCCAGGGTATCTAGGCCCAGCAACACTGGGGAAAGAGAGTGACCATGGATTTACCCAGCATACTCTCTGAGGGTATTTGTTTCATTGCTTCCTGGGTGATAAAGGAACAGGCACACTTTCTTCCTCCTGTTTTTATTTATTGTTGTGTTTTCTAGTCTAGAATTAAGCTATAGTAGTTCATTTCTTTACCCTGTTGCTTCCGAAACTTATCTCTTTGGGACATTCTTGCTCTTGTGCACTCTATCTATTTTTAATATCAGTGGACAGTATGGTTTCAGATACCTAAGATGAGGTTCGCCCCAGCTTTAATAAGGTGAAACTAACTAAAGAAAATTGTATTTATGGAATACAGCACAATGTTTTAGTAAGTATACACAACCCAAAATGATTGCAGCAATCAAGATAATTAGTGTAGTCAACATCTTAATCGACGTTTTCTATTATTGTGGTGACAGTTCAGTTATACAGCACAACACTATAAACTGTAACACCTGTGTCACATATTAGGTTTCTAGGGCATTCCCTTCCTGAAATTCTCCCAGTTCCTCTCTTCCCCTCGCATTCACATCCACATTCTTTCTCTCTCTTCTTAGAAAACAATCAGGTATCTAAGGATTAATGATAACATTAGATAAAACAAACAGAAGAAAAAGAATCACAGGAAAAGCATAAGAAACACATATAGAGGTAGAGTCAAGTTTGCACATACAGGAGTCCCATAAAAACTCAAAACTGGAAGCTATAATATATATGCAAAGACCTGTAAGGTTAAAAGCAAAACGACCCCACACAATGTTAGGAGACAAAGACCCCCTCCCCAAAGATGCCATTTAGCTCGTTCTCTGCTGGCCATCTACTGCTATGCACACATCCTTCAGCACGGTTTGTTTCCCTGGTGAAACTTGCAGGGATAAAACTAATTTTTCACTTGCAAGTGGTTACCAATTGGAGATAGCTTCCGGATTAGGGATGGGAACACGTGTCCACTTCGCCTCTCAGGTCTAGGACCCCATCGAGTGCAGCTGCCCAGGCCCT